GTAGCCATGGTGGTGTTGAGTTGATGATGGTGGTAACGATACGAATATTCATGGCGGTGGTGTTAGTGATGGTGGTGAAGATGGTGCATAGTAGTGGCAGTAACTGGGTGATCATGGTGCTAGTGGGCAGTAACTGGGTGATCATGGTGCTAGTGGGCAGTAACTGGGTGATCATGGTGCTAGTGGGCAGTAACTGGGTGATCATGGTGCTAGTGGGCAGTAACTGGGTGATCATGGTGCTAGTGGGCAGTAACTGGGTGATCATGGTGCTAGTGGGCAGTAACTGGGTGATCATGGTGAATGGTAGTGGTGATGATGGTGGTAGTGATGATGGTGGTCTTTAAAAACATTTAACTTTCTCTCAATCAACTTACATCCGACCAGTCTTCATACTCCCAATGTGGACAAGCCTTAATTCGACAATTTTGTCTTTCCCTTGGTTTCGTTCTTACACCACAAGCCCCGTCTGCGGTCACTTCATTTCCTTTCCAAAGACACGCCACCTTCCTCCTCTGAAATCCTTCACCACATGCCTGTGAACACTGTAATGGCGATAGTACAACAGTGGTTAGTTCATGTACATTATATGATCATTTATCAATTACCACCAGGGAAAGTCACTTGCATGCCAGTAAACTATATGCAGTAGTATGATTATAATTTCACATCAGAACAATTCCAGGTTCACTCAATCAACATGTAGTAACACTGGATCAATAAAAAATTGTTCTTACTGGACCTCTAGGGAAAACAGTTTAGAACTGATAGAGCTATCCAGTATAAATAAAGTTAGTTTAGTAAAGGTTTCCTCCTGTAGTAACACTCGATCAATAAGGGATGATCCTTACTGGACCTCTAGGAATAATAGTTTAGAACTGATAGAGCTATCCAGTATAAATAAAGTTAGTTTAGTTTAGGTTTCCTCCTGTAGTAACACTGGATCAATAAGAGATGATCCTTACTTGACCTCTAGGAAGAATAGTTTTAGAACTGATAGAGGTATCCAGTATAAATAAAGTTAGTTTAGTTTAGGTTTCCTCCTGTAGTAACACTGGATCAATAAGAGATGATCCTTTGCTGGACCTCTAGGGAGAACAGTACAGAACTGATAGAGCTATCCAGTATAAATAAAGTTAGTTTAGTAGAACAGTTTAAAAAAGATAGAGCTATCCAGTATAAATAAAGCTAGTTAGCTTCCATCACTTTGCCAAAAAATTGAGCATTAATTTCGTTTTCACTACATACCCTGCTCCATCTTCCAGTCCTCCACGTTGGACAGCGGAGTGTATTGCAGGCCCTGACTGCAGGTCTTTTCTGGATCCTTAAACACGTGGACGCCGGAAGTTCTTTGCGGACATCCGGGTTCTTCTCTACACACGTGACACGGCGTCTCTGGACGCCACCATTACATGACTTTGAACACTGGAATATAGAAGAAATAACTTAGCGAGCCTTTCTCCCATTTTCTTGAGTGCAGGCGAGACAATGGTATGAGGTTGAGGGTAACAATGCACACGATTCGGTAAAACTGCACTATTTTTCTAGTATAATTGGTGATTCCAACTAGACTAAATTTTGATCAACGCAAGAAGAACGAAATCCAACACCACAGCTAGAAAGAACATCTTAGAATGAGTAAACCTGCAAAGATTGGTTGCTAAATGTTGTAAAATAAAGAAAATATAGCCCTGTGAAGTTCGCAAATTTTGTATATATTTGCATTACGCGCGGGAAAAATAACCATTTTTGAGCCGAAAGTAGTTATTTTTACCGCGCGTAATACAAATATATACAAAATTTGCGAACTTCACAGGGCTATATTTTCCTCATTTTATAACATTTCGCAACCAAACTTTGCACTTTTACTCATTTTAAGATACTGTGTCCAGCTATGGTAATGGATTTCGTTCTTCTTGCCTAGATCAAAATTTCGTCTTTCGCTAGAATCATCCATTGTAAACAAAAGGTTGTTCAAACAGCAATAATAATCTTCTTGAACTGCGAGATCTTCTCGACAACATTTGAGTTATTTTTTTAAACGGCGTTTTAACTTTCGTTTAACCCTAGTGAATTATTTGAATACATCAAAATCATCCTGCCTTCCATCCCATCTCGGCAAATTGGGATGATGTAAACAGTCCTATCTATTTAGAAGCTCACCTCACTCCATCGGGAGTACACCCAGAGAACATTATCGCACGTGCCTTCACACGATTGTTCAGATGGAGGCTTGGTAACCAGTTTGCAATCCTTGTTGGGCTGGACAAGATTCGCGCCAGACGTAATATAGTGTTTCACGCAGCGGTTGTAGATTTTCTGAGTCCCAGGACCACAGCCAGGTTGACATGCACCTTTGCTGGTTTTCATCCACCTGGAGAAACAATAGTTGCATGGAATTATGAAAATTGTTAATTCAATAAGGTCATCTCTTATTGATCCGGTGTTACTACAGGAGAAAACCTAAACTAAACTAACTTTGTTTATACTGGATAGCTCTATCAGTTCTAAACTGTTCTACCTAGAGGTCCAGTAAGGATCATCTCTTATTGATCCAGTGTTACTACAGGAGGAAACCTAAACTAAACTAACTTTATTTATACTGGATAGCTCTATCAGTTCTAAACTGTTCTCCCTAGAGGTTCAGTAAGGATCATCTCTTATTGATCCAGTGTTACTACAGGAGGAGACCTAAACTAAACTAACTTTATTCCTACATTCCTTCGCTACATTCCTCGCGCCTTTGGCCGTCGCATTCGAAATGCCATAAAAATTTTGCCCCTCCCCCAAAGTTTAGACGCTGGCTGCGCCAATGGAAGTACTCCTTTAGATCAGACAATTGCACATTGGACGATCAAGAATAGAGGAAGATTGTAAGAACAATATGCCTTACTTGCATCGCAAAATTCAATGGAAGAGAAAACCAACTTACTTGAAAAGACATAGCGTGTTACAATTCTCTCTAATCGTTTCAGATTTGTTATTTTGGTCACATTTTTCAACGGACACCACAAGACCGTCTCTCTCGCGTTTGCAAACAAGCTTTCTTTTGCGCCATCCTAACAAAAAATAAGGAGACAAAGTAAGGCAAACACTAAATTTTGTTTGGTGGAATTCATGCCCAGTTAATGAGAGAATGTATCCGTCATTTCGGCGACGAAACTTTAGACGACTCTATAGGATTGTAAGATGGTGTGGTAGAAGACAAACAAAAGTTATTAAAAACAAAGCTGCCCTACATTTTTCCCGCTGAACTAAGGCTATGTTTACACTTCCGTAGCGACGTGTAGAACGCCTATCCGTACCTTTTAGGAACGTTATTTTGAGAGAGATGTTGTTTCGCTCAGCTTCTGAAAGTTGTACATTCTGTATCGGATAGGTGCTTTTTCGCGCCGCTATGGAAAACTATCCGTGTAAACGTAGTCTAAAATTAAATCAGAACATACACTTAAATTACCTTGACATTCTTCGCTGCATCTTGACCAAGATCCCCTGTTATCCCACACAAATGTATCAGGTCTCACAACATGTTGAAGATATGAATAAGTTATTTTCGGATCCTCAATTTTTTCCACGGATAAAACCTTTAACGTAAACACTCAAATCTTAAAGTGCGACTAACCACTAATATGATTTTTGGTTTGTGTAATATTTGGGACAATCGAAGAAGAAATGTAATATATCTTTATAATAAAAAATCCCATCTTTATCAACTTTTTCACTGTCAAAGTTTGCGGATATGATGTCATTAGGTGAATTGCAAATTAGTTTTCCTTTGTTTTTTTGTACCAAAAGTTCACCTAATGACATCATATCTGGAACTTTGACAGTGAAAAAGTTGATCAAGATGAGGTTTTTTATTATAAAGATACCTTACATTTCTTCTTGGAATGACCCAAATATTACACATACCAAAAATTATATTTGGGGTTAGTCGCGCTTTAAATACTTCTCACTTGAAAATATGTCTCTCGGTAGAAGTTTACGTACCTGTAAACGTATTTTTTGTGTTAATTTTCCTTCAATTTCGATATATTCAGGATAACTTCTTGACCCAGAGTAAGTGATCCTCAGACCTGCTATATGAAATATGTTGGTGGAATGAGCACTGATGTAGAAATCTGTGTTAAGAATGTTGCCATAACGTTCGTTGCGTAGAACTGCAATAAAGAGAATTGAAAGATTTGGTGTTTGCTTCAATGAACAATACTTTGATAGGGTGTCATGCTCATACCAAAACCATACAATACAATGCAATGCAATGCAATGCCAATACAACACCACATCATACCACACCGTACCTTACTATACCTACCACATCATAGCATAGCATAGCATTGCATTGCATAGCATAGCATAGCAAACTAGACTACACCACTCTACAACAAATAGTATGATACCACAGCATACCACTCCACACTTTTCGCACCACTCTGTACCATACAATACCATACCATACCATACTATACCATACTATACCATACTATACTACCCATACCATACCATACTATACCATACTATACTACCATACCATACCATACCATACCATACCATACCATACCATACCATACCATACCGTACCGTACCGTAACGTACCATACAACACCTCAATATATAATATCATACCATATCACACCATATATAACACCAATACCATACCACAAACCATATCATATTAAAACTCTCCTCACCTAGATAATTATTATCGCCAACTCGATGTCGTCTATGGCGTTTGGCCTGGACTGTCCTCTCTGCCTCGGATTCTGGTGACGTCTGTTCAATTCTGATTGAAGAAAATCCAGGAAGAAATGTTGTGACGTCATTGTACCCTAAATATTGAATTTCAGAAAATATCCAAGTCAACAACGTCCTTACATCAACGGATTGAGAACCAGATGCTGTTCACAGCAGCTAAATTGCCCTGTAAAAGTGTATATATACTAAAACTGTCTGTACCAGTGTTGGTAGTACCAATGTGAAAATGCTGTACTGAGTGGTTATATTACTACCTTAAAAAATAAGAAGAAACTCGACGTTTCGAGCGAAGGCCCTACTAACTCTTGACGAAGAAACTCGACGTTTCGAGCGAAGGCCCTACTAACTCTTGACGAAGGGCCTTCGCTCGAAACGTCGAGTTTCTGGCTTGTTTTTTAAGGTAGTAATATAACCACTCAGCACAGCTGTAAAAGTGTATACATTATTTCATACCCCATTCAACGTGTTGGTGCCAGGATTTATGCGTGCGTTTACAAGTGTCATTCCGTCCACCACAAACACCGCAAACATCCAGCTTGCTTCTCGAGTTCAGAGCATTGTCACAACCTGCAAGCTGAAGAAAGATATAAACAATCAATCAAAAAATTTAGTGGAGGAAAAGACAAACTATGGCCAATCTATATAAGCTGGGAACAACCAATGCGAACACATCCTATTGACAACCAAGCTTGCTGCATGCAGGCTTGTCACAACCATACATTTTTCAAAAAGGACATAACTCCTTACCCTGCAAATTCCATTCACACAGATATCAAAAGTATTCTTCCCGCATTTTGTGCCATCAATCACTTTCGCCGTGATAAATCCCCCACCACCAACACGCTCACAAAGAAGTTGGCATCGATGTCTGCCTAGGATGAATAAATATATTTACCATAAATTATGATCACAAATAAGATATGGATTAGGTGCTACTGTAGGTCGAGGGTTGGTTATTATTTAGGGTGAGAGCAAACTTATGCAGTGGTTGGTTCTCTCGTGTGCTTCGAGGTTTTTCTCCCTCCCCAAAAATCCAAGACTACTACAGTGCGTATTATCCGGTCGTCGTTATTATGTGCAACATTGTGCGACATTGGCAACTTTCAAAGAAAAGTAGTATGCGTCACTGGGCGAAATTAGGCGATAGTAGGCGAAATAGACTGTTAGGCAAAGTTAAAAAATTTGGGTGCACATTCGCGAAATTAGGCGAACTTAGGCGACCTTGGCCCTCAAAGTAGGCCTTGAGACCTCCAAAGTAGGCTTGCCTTTCTCACTCTGAGGTTGAGCACAATCAGCTGCACAAGAGTGAAACACATCTACTGTATGTTTATTTTTAATTCATATAATCATACCCTTCAGGTATCTTGGTACCCATTTGCTTCCTTTAGGACCTTTCCTGTTGTTATATGCAGCACATTGCACCGCTCTGAAACTAGCACTGCCCTTCGGACATTCCTGTCCAAGAGAAAATCCGCCATTTAGAATGGAGTTTAAACATGCAAGTCATCTCTTATTAGAGACCTTAAGATTGACGTTTACGGCAAACGTCAAACCGCTAGCGAAGTTTTTGATTTTACAACTCTATTATTATAGCTTCTACACCAGTTTTGAAATATGTTAAACTTATTAAACTTGTGCTCTTTAGCAATGATTTAAGAAAGCAAATTAACCACTAGTCATGCCATTCACCAAAGCAGTAAATTAAGATTTGGCGTTTGAAGTTGGCGTTTGGCGTATAAATTTCATGCTTGAACTGCTACGAGGGCTTGTAGTCGTTAAGGCATGAAATTTATACGCCAAACGTCAACTTCAAACGCCAAATCTTAATTTAATGCTTTGGTGAATGGCATGATTTGTGGTTAATTTGCTTTCTTAAATCATTGCTAAAGAGCACAAGTTTAATAAGTTTAACATATTTCAAAACTGGTGTAAAAGCTATAATAATAGAGTTGTAAAGTCAAAAACTTCGCTAGTGGCTTGACGTTTGCCGTAAACGTCAATCTTAAGGTCTCTAATGATTCAGTTTTACTACAGGAGGAAACCTAAACTAAAGTTTATTTATACTGGATAGCTCTATCAGTTCTAAACTGTTCTCCCTAGAGATCCAGTAAGAGTCATCTCTTATTGATTCAGTGTTACTACAGAAGGAAACCTAAACTAAACTAAACTAACTTTATAAATTATAATAGTTTTGTTTGTGGAAACACCACGAGTAAATTTATTACTGCAAAGCTTTCGATTCGTAAGCCCAGATTTTCATCAGTGCTAATAATTTGAAGCTTTGCAGTAATAAATTTATGTGGTGTTTCCACAAACAAAATCTCTTATTGATCCAGTATTACTACAAGAGGAAACCTAAACTAAACTAACTTTATTTATACTGGACAATTTTGCCTGTACTAAAGTGTTCTCCTAGAGGTCCAGTAAGGGTCCATTAGTGTTTCAGTGTAAGAATTACCTGAGTATGACAAGATTTGAATCTCTTTTTCGCGCCAAGACAAAACTTGCCTCCATTTGAAGGACTATAAGAATCATTAAAAATAAAAATTTGTTTGTGACATCTCACTATATTTTACAAAATGTGATAATAAGTAGACTTACCTTGGGTTACTACACCATCTTGATGAGAAAGTCACACCACCCCCACACGTCCGGGAACAAGCTCCAAATTCCGACCATGGTGACCACACTCCGTCAACTTTAACTTTGACTTGTTTAGCCACACAAGAACCACGTACGCACCACTAAAAATTGAAAAGTAATCCACTCCTAATATCCCTACATTTTTACCTTACAGTAGTCTACCCGTTGGGTATTGGGTGCTATAACCAGATGAATTGAAACATGCACTCGCGAGTTTTTCAAGACCTTAAATTGCACTGAATTGACTAGTTCAACTTTGATAGTATTTGAACCACTCAGCCGTATATGCATGTATTTCCAAATTGCACGCGAAACCACTCTGCTATCATACAGCAGACAATGGTAGCAGCCAGTGGTCAAATGGCAGTATAAGTTTAATACTAATTTTCTTACTTTCATAACACATTTTTTATTAATGAAACCAACAAGAAAGCAATATACTGTACATAGACAGCACTTCTCCACAGTTATTGCTGCATTAAACCGTAAGATTTAATTATAAATCTACATCACCTTCGCATACATGGTAGAAATTAAAGTTATGTATAACTTGCACCATAATTTACTGATGCATTAGGACTGGTAGATATGTACTCAGTTTTAGATGCATTTCACTGCCGACTAACATGACCAGGCACAAAAATACATACATTGTGCTAATTAAAAAAAAATGAAAAATTTTACTTTGTACGTTGTACCGAGAAAAATGGATAATTGGATAAATGTCTGACCAATTTTTGGCTTGACCAGACATTTGTCCTTCCAACTAAAATAATTATTTGCAGGCCTGAATGCTTGCAGAAATCGTAAACAAACTGAATTAAACGACATGTTTCGTGGCTTCTAGGACTTCATGAAAAATGATTTTGTCTTTACTAACCTTGTCCTTCCCACAGGTACTGCCTTCAGCCCAGGGCATGCCGTGGGTTCGACATCCTTCCCGGCCGTTAGAGAATTGTACAGCACACCATAGACGTCTACAAGACGTGGTCTGGAAGAAACATAATAAAACACAATTAAAATGAACTGGACTAAACTAAGAAAGCTTATAAATTAGATTATAAACTGAACTAACATTATACTCCTTGGAGCCCCGGTAAACAATGATTTGAATGAAAATTTGGAATGGAAAGGGTTCCGTCTTACCTTGAATCGACACAATGAAGAATCCTTGCCATACGTGATCTTGCATTGCTTTGTGGGACTGTACACCTCGCCTGGTAATTTATCTGATTTTTTAAACTGATACTGAGGCTTATCCATTAAACATCTGTCATGGCCAAGTCTGAAAGCAAGAAAATATATCACAAATTACAGTACATATGTATACTGAATTGCTCCATCAGTAAACTATTCTTCCTAGAGCTCCAGTAAGGAAAATCTCTTATTGATCCAGTGTTACTACAGGAGGAAACCTAAACTAAACTAACTTTATTTATACTGGATAGCTCGATCAGTTCTAAACTGTTCTCCCTAGAGGTCCAGTAAGGATCATCTCTTATTGATCCAGTGTTACTACAGGAGGAAACCTAATCTAAACTATCTTTATTTATACTGGATAGCTCTATCAGTTCTAAACTGTTCTTCCTAGAGGTCCAGTAAGGATCATCTCTTATAAATCCAGTGTTACTACAGGAGGAAACCTAATCTAAACTATCTTTATTTATACTGGGTCGCTCTACCAGTTCTAAGCTGTTTTCCCTGGAGGTAACGCTAAACCTAAAGTAGACTACTTACTCCAAGAATTCAGTGATTTCTTGTCTGCTGCAGGAAGACCAACTCCATGGCATCGCTTGGAGATTGACAGCTGGTGCCATCACATGGAGGCCATTCTTTTCTCCTAAACAATTCTTGGCGAGTGCATCATGACCAATATTAAACCTAATAATACAAAAAGAATCGCTTTTTTTAAACTAGCAGGTTTTCCTCAACAAGTCTTCCCTGACAAGTTTACTTTACTATGGGGTTGAATAGTGTTTAACATTTTATTATTAGAAGAAAAAACCCTCCACTTACACATGTCCCAATTCATGAGCGACGGTAAAAGCAACACCAAGGCCATTATCCTCGACGATGGAGCAACTACGGGCAGTGTCGCACATTGTTCCAAGCTCAGC